ATATATATATATATATATATATATATAATATATAAGTATATATATACACATACACACACACATACACATATGTAAAGTATGCAGCTCTATTATTTGATATGTGTATACATTTGGACTCTTCTCTCACACCATACACAAAAATCAACTAAAAATAGAAGACCAGAGCATAAGCCCTGAAGCTACAAAACTACTAGGACAATAAAGATTCTTGACATTGATCTAGACAACGATTTCTTGGATATGATTCCAAAGGCACAGGCAACAAAAGTAGAAATAGACAAGTGGAGTGCATTCAACTGAAAAGCCTCTGAATGATCACCTGAGTGAAGGGCAGCCTAGGAAATGAGAAAAACATCTGCAGACCATATGAGTGATAAGGGGTTTATATTCAAAATATAAGAGGAACTCAAACAATCAATAGCAAAAAACAATCAATCTGATTTTAAAACAGGCAAAAGACCTGAATAGACATTTCTTGAAATAAAAGAATGTTTTAAGAAGCTATTATAGTCTCTATTAAACATGCGAGTAGAATGCGTGTGTTTGTAATTCATCTCTTAGAGTTGCTCTGTTGATTTAGCTGGTAGCTACTGTCCCCAGCAGCCAGCAGAGGCCCCGACAGAAGAGCAGCAGCAGAGATCCACCTGCATGGGTCCTTCCAGAGTGGCTTCAATGAAAAAATCACATTGTGAAAGTTTAAGAGTTTTGTATTACTTACAGACTTCAGGCGAGGAAGGATGACAGAAGGGGTCAGACAGCAGTCCTTTGTCCCGGTCTCCTGTAGCAACAGCAGCTGCATGCACACAGAAGAGGACTTTCCCTATTTAAAGGTTGTTTGGGGTAGGGTGTCCTAATTTGGTGGGGTTACTTTCTATTGGGCACTTTGCCCAACTTTGGCAGCAAGAGCGGTTGAGCAATTTTGCATGAAGCTGCGATTAAAACCAAGTTCCTCAGAGGTACTTCTTATCCATCTTGGTCAGCCTTGGCCAGGCCTAAGCAGCAGTCAACTAAGGCTCCTCCTCTTCTTCTAAGAAAATTGACCCTGTAATGCCTCAGCCATTGGCAGACATCACCTGGACTCAGAAAATATTAAAAGCCATAGGGAAAGCCTGGCCTGCATATCACAGTATACACGTTGTTAAGGTCATTAGGATAGAAATGCCAATAAACACACAGAGGAAGATCCAGAATTGGGCTCTCAACCAGCCTCCCCAGGACCTGGGGTCTAGTCATGAAAACAGATTAAAGCCGCTCGGCAGAGCAGGACGCTGGGGAGCAGCGGGGTGAGGTTGCAGTCTGGCTGCCTTGTGATGCTATGCAGTGCAAGTTTTGTTGGACTCTCCCTGAGTTGATGTACTGCAGCATGTGGTTCCCTAGAGGAAAGAAAAGTCTCCTTGTTTGGCCAGTAGATAGTCCAAGGCAAGACAACTGTCTAGCATCATCTGGGCCAAGGATCTATGAGACCGTTGCAGGAGACTTAATATGTCTTGGAGGTTTTTCAGGTTGGCTGCCAAGGGGGCAGAAAGACTGGTGTTAGCCTGTATCAGCTGGTGCTGTGTGCTCAGAGATGTCACACCCAAACCAATACTGTGAAGGCTTAAGGGCAACCTGGTATGCAGCATGACTGGGATGAACACTGAGTGCTTGGGACATGCAGGCTTTAACTCACGTGGTCCCTCCTGCTCCTTTGGAGGAGTGTCCTAGGAAGATTAGTGCACACCTGAAAATGTATGACTCTTCACCACCTTCCTCCTCCTTACAGGGAGGTAAATGGAACTAGGTTTGGGGAAAAGAGAACTGGACATAGTCACTCTTGAGGCAATAAATACCCACAGTGAGGTTACTGAACCCAGATATGCCAGCCGCCCCATCAACGCAGTCATAAAGATGGTCATGCAATACTGCTGTCACTGTAGCGCAGATTCTCAGCACCACCATTTAATCTTTGTCTGAAGCTAGGAGATATCAGACTGTGAAGCACTGGGAGCAACTGAGTGAGAGATGAAGCATCTCTCTCAATTTTAAGGAGAACGAGTTATCTCAAGTCTTGTAAGCAGTGGAAATGGTGCCACACTGGCAGGTAGGCTGTCACCCTGGGGAAGCAGTGAGCTCCTGCCATGTGGCAGGCCCAGTAACTTTACTGTTTGAGGAAATGGGCACCAGTTTCAGCCCAGTGTATGAAGAAATTTGGGCTGTTTTTGGGAA